TTTGATAAACTTTTATAATTACTAAAAATATACTTTTGTTAACAAAAAAGCAGTTTTTGAAATATGACAGCAAAATAATGTTAGTGTTTAGCCATGCGATAACCATATAGAGAGTCTGACAACATTTTTATCCCTTATTTACTATTCACTTCACATTAATTTTTGCAAAATATTTTGTAACAAAGTTATTTCATTAAACTCTTTCATTTCATTTATTAATTTCGATTTAAATGCATTCTTATTATCTGTATTTACATCTGTTATACGATAAATGTATTTATAATGTTAATAGCATTTATAAAAAATATACAAATTACGAAAAATGCAAATTAAACTTGATTTTAATACAGATTAAAACAATTAGAAATTGTAATATTAATTGCAAAGTCAATAATATGGTAATTAAACTCTAAACGATATGCAAAAACAAAATAATTTTTTCTATCATTAATTGTTATAATAACAAATAGACTAATTAGTATTTTGTGGTATTAATTATTGTAAATTAAAATATAAGTGAAGTCATTTCCACAAGTTTGAATATAAATGAAAAATTTATTTAAAATTTATAGATTTTATTCTCCACTTAAACATAAAAATTAAATAATATTTTCACAAACAACACTTATAATGTTACTACATAAGTGAGGATATTATTTAAATTTCAAAACAAAAAATCATTAATATTTGCTGTTTTGGTCATAAAAACTGCATTTTATAGAGAATCTGCAGATTTTCAAAATAGTTGTGATATTTTTAGTCCAATATGTAGTATCTGTTGTTGTGTTAGAGTGTTAGAGACAACTGATAGTCTCGATTAAGTAAGCATTTTATAAATTGTTTCGAGAATTCATTTAATCATTTGGAAGTGACTAACAATCGATACAATGAAAAAACAGTGAATCCTCTCATTCCGACTACACTTTTGCTGTTTTTTAAGCGCTAAAACTTTTGTGTTTTATTAAATAGTAGCAAAAATCTGTTTCATTGCATATATTGAATAATTAATAATAATTTTGCCAAAAGATATGACACGCCTTCCGATGGATTCAATTATTTTGAGCAAAAAATAAATGAGTTTTGCATTTGATTTTTGTGCCTAAAAATTGATATTTAAATAACAAATAATAAGTGAACCAAATCTGAAATCTCTAGTCAAGCGAAATGTTATTTTAAATATTACTAAATATTCACAAATTGTGTACTGTTTTCAATGCCCACACATATTGTTGGGGGTATTGTATGCGCAGATCATGCCTAACATCATAAACCGTTGGATTCTGTAAGTTCTGGCGCTGTGTTTGGGCACAGAATTCCTATATTCTGGTGGAAAGGCTGGTGGAAAGGCTGTTGGAGAATGTGCTCAACAGTATTCTCAGTGACAAACTCGTTGACACACGGATTGCATATCCATTGAATTGTTAGTGAATCGCCGACACAACACACTATGAGTTACGAAAAGTTAGTTTCGAGTGAATAATACTTAAATGAATTAGAAAACAGTGGAAAAGTAATACAAGTAATACAAGTGGATCCCATGTGTTCATCGACGCGACTATAAGTCGAAAGTGGCATTCATTTAATCTGTTTTAAGTCATCAAACATTACTTATTCTTTAAATTCAAGAGTTTTATCTTATTTACAATGATTTTCAAACTTTCCATTTGCATCTGACTCTCTATTGTCTTCATTTGATTTGATTATAATCATTATTATAGCAAACATATAATGCAATCCATTTTAATTGATGTCGCTATGAATATTCAAGTGATAACTCAAAACTATAATAATTCAATAGTTTATGAATTTGAAGACAGTCTGGAGAAGGCATCTCTGGATGAGGTGGAGAACTGGTGGCAAAAGTTTTTTAATACAAAACATTTGTTAGAAGACGTGTCGACCAAAGAGTTAGTGTTTCGGTCCATCGGAGCCTTCCTTTGTATCCTAATAATCATAACAACACTTGTGGGCAATATTCTGGTCATCGTTGTTGTCACCAAATTTCATCGCATGAGAACTGTTACTAATATATTACTGGCCAGGTATGTGTCCATTCATATATAACACATGATAATGATATTATAGTTTTATAAAATATTTAATAAATTACAATATTTTTAAATATCTTATATTTTAATATAAATAATAAAACTCCTGATATTACTATTATGTATAAAGTTTTAATTCCAAACTATAGTCTCCAAATACTGATATTGAACTATAGATACCATAATGCTTAAATATATTATAATGATACAGGTTTATTTTGTGTTTATAAAATTTACGTTTTGAAAGACTATAGTTTGGTTTTAAAGCTTTCATATAACAGTATATTATAAGCAAAATTATAACTGTTTAATTAATCATAAAACTGTTTAATTAAGTGATAAAAATTATATCAATATAACATTTAATGGCAAACAAATTGATGTGATTTACTAATTTATTAAACAGTTTGGCATTCAGTGATATAACAGTGGCCTGTCTTGTAATGCCATTTACAATAATATACGATTTCATCCGATTCTGGCCCTGGGGTACCATTGCCTGTCACTTCTGGATATCTTGTGATGTCATGTGTTGTACAGCAAGTATTCTACATCTCTGTTGTGTGGCTATTGACAGGTTTGTCAGTCATATACTACTTATTAATATTCATATTTCATTTCGTATAAACACAGAATGTATTTCAATTGGTCAGTCATATACTAGTCAATTATGATATTTATAGTCAAGTTTTTAACACACTTTATGAGATTGGTTTTATCTCTAATGATCGTCACATGTGTAGTAAATGTTGTGATACATTGTTAAAACAGTGGACTTAATAATTATAATTATATTTTCATACTCAATAGCATTGGTGTTAGAATTGGTAGAACTTGTGTAATAAATCTTATTTCATGTGCCAAACGATACGATTATTGTTTGTTATAACTATTACTTTGAGATAATTTTTATACCCAAAGAGATTTAGTCTTCAACGTTAAACTGAAATATGAGTGCTTTTACTTATAACTCAAATGACAAATAAACCCTCAGAAAAAATCCTTCCATCAAAATATCGTATGGTTTTGTTATATAATAAATATTTTCAACTTGTAAAAAAATGTCAAAACATATTTTTAAAGATACTGTAGTTTTAAAATAAGATTTCTAAATCTGAACATAAATTAATTTGGAAATAAATTTTTAATAAACATATTAAATACTGTATAAAGAATTACCATATTCTCATGAATATTAAACTTTAAACACTACAATAAAATTATTAAAATATGTTTTTAATTGTTGTTTTTGAAATTATATTTGCTTGCTTTAGTAAACCAATTAATGTATAGCTCTGTAAATGTTTGTAATATAATTTTCTATTTTATTTTGATAACAAGAATCTGATGTGGGAAATCATTTGTTGAATTTGTCACACTTTTCCAGAATATGATTCAATAATAAAAATAAATTTATGAATAAAATGCAGACAATTTGGTGTTTTCTTATTTGACGCAAACACTGAGACATAATAAAAATATTGTGAGAGATATTTCATTTTTGTGTCTCTAATACTAATGACTCCTTTATTAAGCTATTAATCCTATAGTAGTTCTCATCTAATGGTTAAACACAGTTTGACTCAAATATAAGACATTCATATATAAGATAATAATAATAAATTATTTCTGTAATACTCTATGAAACGCTAAGATTATTATTTATCCACATTATATGTTTATTAGTATTATTTGTTTTGTATAAGTATATGCCGGCATTATCGTTTAAAAATATCAATATTTTCTGTTGCATTTATTTTGCAATATTTTATGATTTAAGTCAATATTTGTTATAAGAAATTATTGAAATATGAAACATTTTCCACTATTTATTTTTATAAATTATATTTTATTTGTGTTCAATCTGTAAATATTGTGTCAGAAACTTGTTCACAATTAGATCTAAAACTTTCTCAATATTATTTTAATTAATATATTACAAAACATATTCAATTAACAAATAAATCAAATGCAAGGTAATATTATTTTAGTTATACTGTATTACAGATTAGCAATCAAATTCTTTAAACAATTTTACTGTATTAAACATATTGAATCATGCAGTTTATTTTTAACATATTAGAATTTTATTTTATAAATAAATAAAATCAAAAGTATTTTATCCAAACATTTTTACTTAAGCTGTGATGCGAAATATGAATTATACAGTATTTCAAGAATGGTCATTTTTATTTGTTACTATAGAGAATTGGTTTAACATATTCTTTTACTTTAAACCTCAAGTGTACTGTAATTCTAAACTAGAACTAACTTATAGAGACTTTTTAAAACTATTGATTTGAATAAGCAACAATTTATATAACGTTAAAATTTAAAACTCTACTTAACAAATATTAACAACGTATTTTTTAACGACCTTTAATTTTTTAAATTAATACATATTATTCAGATAATTACAACGTGTAAAAATAAAAGTTTACAAATTATTTATTTTATATTTGAAATTCTTGAAAATCTTATTGTAAAATAATTATTTTTGATATAAATTCATATATGCAAGAAATGTCAACAATTTTATATAATATTTATCCTAATATAAGGGGTTATATATTATACAGTATTACTTTATATATTTATAGGAGGATAGTTTGTATGCAAAGTAAAATATAAACATATTTACCACATCTTCACATATGTTTCAAAATAGTTATTTGAAATTCAAAAATTCTCGACTTATTGTTGAATATATTTTTCATATTCTTCTTTAGTGTGAAATATTAGATACGATCGCTTTAGGGATAAAATATTCAAAATTGAAATCATTATTTGCGTCCAAAATCTTAATTCAATGTTTCGCTTAAAAAGTGTTTTCATCGAAATAATTGCAGTTTTCACGCATCGAGTGCTTGAATACAGCAGAGAATTACTGTATAAAACATTATTAACTATATATTCTTGCATTCATTTAGAGGTGAATATAAATTTTTAGCCATTTTTCTCGCATTATTAGACGCGAGTTATATTTATATACAGTAATATATGCCATTATGTATGCATTTTATATAATATTATCACGTTTTCATTACCGTTTATCGCCGGATATGCAGTCAAACCAAATAAATCGGATCGTCTTTTGAATCCGCAAATCGTTTCTTATAAAATGTTAAATATATTTCAATGTTTTATTTACTAAATATATTCCCTGATCAAAATTCAAACAAATTGTTACTATTTTGAGTCAATATTCAAAGCTCTGATAAAACATTTAGTGTTTGACTGAAAGTACAAATGGGAATAAACAGAATGATTATTGTTATAATTATTTATATAATAATTGTTTTATTACACGTTTGAAACATTACTCAAAGCTATTTAGGAAAAGAAAATTATCGACAATTTTATTATATTTACTAAACGCCTCCTTAACTTTCAATGAAACTGGAAACAGTTTAATTTATAACAAAAAATGTACTAATTTATTGATTTTGCCAGAAATAAAATATATTGATATATCATATATTAAAGAGGAAAACATCATACAGACTATCCTCATAGTCTTTTGATGAAAAACTGTTTTTGATACTGTATAACAAATGTTTATATACAGTGCAGTATAATATTGATGTTCAATAAAGTGGTGGCAATTGTCCAAAATTAGAATATTTCGGATATAATGTTTGGAAATGCAATGAATGTTCACCTTTTCTAGCAGTATATGAATAATGGATTAACTTTTTATGGACACAAAATAATCATTTCATAGTAGAAAGAGTCAATGATTTGAAGTCAAGCGTTAAGTCTTATTGAATTTTGACAAATAATTTTAGAGCCATTAAAGAATAAATAGAAGTGTGATATCAAACAAACATCTAAATTGTGGGCCCAGTAGTTATGACTGACCACACGCTCTGAGACACAAATAAATAATCAATAAAAAAGACTTCCAAAGGCCTAAAATAGCTATGCTTTGGAAGCAATTGATTTCCAACATTTGCAACGAGACTACGGAAACCAATTGATTCATTGGATTAGACGTGAATCCATAGATAAACTCATGTTTTTTATTATTATATTTTTCTTATTTATTATTATTATTATTATGAAACAATAATATATCATGTATATATTTTATAAATAATACAACAAATATGTAATTTTATGAAATAATTTTTAATGATTTATTATCTCAAGTAATTTTTATATTAAATAAAATTGATATTTAATTCTCAAATTGAATTATATTTTATCCAATCTATTGAGAACTCATTAATAATTAGTTATTTTTACACCGAAAAGAGTAGATTTATGTTTACTGTTAGATTAAAAAGGATTTAAATGTCACCCAAAAAATAATGAGTGAGATTATCTAATCTTTTATACAAATTAAATTTAAATACTTAAGTTCATGAATCTATAATTTTCATGGTTTTCACTGAAAACTTTTACAATTCTTAGCGTATTGTGAGCCAATACATTATCTAATGATTATTCACAACTAATTGCTATAAAAACAATTATAATAACAATAAAACTCTTTTATCATTGGCTCATAAAAAATTGTGAGCATGGTAGTTGACTTTATTTGACGCAATAAACAATTATAATAATACTGGTAATGTTGTGTACACTAATGGACTGAAAGAAATTTGAAAATTAAAAAATGTTTTTTCTCGAGAGTTGAGCTATAATTTTGGCGTCAATTCTGTTCAAATTCATTGATCATTTGAGAGAATGAAAAGTTAATACAAAATGATTGCCTCACAGGAGACTGAACTGAAACTTCAATTCTTCAAAACAATTATGATCCTCACGTAATGGTTGCCGGTATTGAACTTATCGTTACGTAATCTCACTTTTAGACGGATCTCTATCTTTAGATAAAACCTAAAAATAGATTCTTTGAATTGATTTAAAAATTAACATTTAATAAAAAATCTATTCACAATGGATTTCAATATAAATGTACAAAATACATATATACGTATATAATATTATGATTAGTAGGTAAAATTAAGCAAAATAAACTCTATAATGAGTATTCTATTGAGTTTATATTTCTATTATTATCCCTTTTATGTGTCATAATGTAAATATGCTTTAGAATTCATTTTCTCAGAATTTGATTATCTTTTAATAATCTGAAAATTATCGGATATTATTATGACTTAATATTTACTGTTTAATCGATATACTCTGTACAGTATACCGTACAGTATACCGTACAGTAATTGTATTCAATAAGCAATTTTATTAAAAAAAAATTTTAACACTCTTTTTAACAGTTTTCTAAATATTGTGTTAATTAAAGGATTAATCACTTCATAAATATTAGTTTATTTGTTTAATAATATAATATATTTATTCTTGTATTATAAGCTATTATTGGCTTATTTATTATCTTTCAAATAATTATTTTACATTAATATCACTGGTATTGACTGTAGAAACGATTTAATTACAGATTTTTGTCTAACTCGTAAATAATAAATTTAAAATAGTATATTAAGGATTATGATTACTAACTGTGAAAATATATCATCAATTCTCTATCGAAATATAGGACTGTATTTAACCTTATTGTCTTTCATATTAAATGACAAGAATAAAATAACTTTTAATTTATTAAACAAATTAACTGAGTTTTCATAAAACTATAATTATATTGAATTGTTCTCCAAATAACTAATACCCAAATTATGCAGTTTTGTGAAATAAATGAGAGAAAATGTTAAATGTTTTCCTTCCCATTCATTCATCAGTTATTTTATAACAAAGAATTTATTTGTAATAATGAAATAATTCATAATTCTTACACAGCGTCTGAATACAATAGAAAGTATTGTTTTGCTCCACCATTAAAACTTTTGCCAATAAATCAAAAACTGAATACAATTTTCGTTTATATCTTATAGTTTGAAAGAAATAGATGTTATTTAGAAATTGTGTTTTCCATAAAATCAAAAGAAGTTCTTTAAAGGTCTCAGAAATAAATTTTTATGTTTGCTCTCAATTGTTGTACTTTTTTCGTTGATATGTTGTGATCAGAGTCTGAGAGTTTGATTTTTAAATGACTACAAACTTATTGATTTCTTGTGATATGCCATTGGATTTCATACAATTGTTTGATATATTGACTCCATAGCAGATAAACTCTAATATCCTGACATCACTTCAGCCGATGTCTCTGACAGTGCCTTCACTTCGAGTCAAAGTTTTCAAAATTTCTTCTCAACTTTATTTTGAACCCAAATATATTTCATATCGAATTGTTTGTATTGGACAACTTTTATACCTTGTTAAATAAAAATCTAATAACAATCAAACTAATAATGAAAACCTTCCTCTTTAAAATGTCAGAAATTCTACTTATTTTTCGTCATTTACTACAATTTAAAGCTAAGATATTTCATTAATGACAAACTTTAAGTTAAATACTTCACTAATCTTTAAAGAAAATTTTAATAATTACAGTAAAAATAATAATAGAATATAATAATACTTTAGTTTTATCTTTATAATACAAAATTAGTGGTCAGTTTCTATTCATATAACTTACAAACAAATTTGTAAAATTATAATTGACAACAAATACAAGAATAAAACAAATGAAATTTGAAAGTGTTTATTCAAAATATAAACAAATGAAGATAAATGTACTTTTGTGTCAATTTATTTAGACATTAATTCTCAAATTTTAAGTTTGTAATAGATGTTGTCACTACAACTAATAAACGACTGTAGGATAATATGCAATCCCAATTCTACATAGTCTTTTACATAGAGTTTAAATAAATATTATATTCAAAATTTAATCTATTTTAATCACAAACTTAAACAAAGCCTTAATTATATTTTGAAAAGAAAATTCAGTGAAAAAATATTAAACCTTTTTTTGATGGGAGAATGAGAGAGGAATCTGTAATTGAGTATAGGATTGAAGATTAATCACAAGAATTCATAAAACTATTTGAAGTGAAAAAATCCTGTCAGCTATTCTCCAGAATAAAATAATGAGGTTTTTGTCATAAATTTCAAAACAATAATTTTATTTCCAGTATATGTTATGAAAATTTATATCTCGTTTTCCAAAATATTTTCTCTATTGAGTGTGATATTTGAAATTCATAACAAATACCAAAATGTATTTCTGTGTTTAACACGAATGAAATTTCAATTTCGTATTAAAATTATTATTTTAAAAACTATTAAACTATACAAAGCGAAAGTCCTAAGGCTTAAAGGCTTAGAAATATTTTTGTCACACTTATTAACAAAGAATATTTTTCTAAAGAATTAGTTAAGATTTAATTTTATAATTAAGTTTTAATTCATACAAGACATGCTTTAGATAAATAAGAGATCGAGAGTAGATTTAACAATTATTAAAAAATATTTTTTAATTAAAGATTTAATTTATTATTAAAAAATTAGTAATAATCTTAAAAATTTGTTTTAAATAAATTTAATTTAAAGTAAACAAAATTAATCCTTTATTTTAGTGATCTTCTTATGAAAATTATTTTGAATATTTATTATTTATAATCATTTTAAGATTCAAAAGTAATTAATTATTTTATTTTACAAGCTTAATTAAAGAATTTTGAATTTATTTCCAGTAATGTTAACTTTTTATCAGGTTTAATTGTTTTACTGTAATAGAAATCAAATTTGGATTTTTATTACAAATACAAATAAATTTTAATCTAAGTTTTGAATGTCATTCAACAAATTCATTGTCTATTAAAAAATGTTAAGTAAATCGGAACTCTATTTCCTTTGAAAATTTCAATTTAATGGCAATTTTGTTCATTTTTATTCAATACATAAAACTAGATTACATTTGTATATTAAATATATAAAACAATTGTAAATAAGTTGATATTAATTAAGAAGATGACAAAAACTACATATATTATATAATATGACATATTGTTAAGAATTAATGAACTTTTTTGTTATTAAGAAGAATAACATGAATTAAATGATGGACTCATGAGCTCTCCCTTTCTGCTATTGTATACCTAATTCTATTCAATTTATGTAACATTTGAGTATATCGTATACAAATATTTTAGTTTCATTTATATTGATATTTGGAAATATTTGCTGAATAAACTTTACCAATCTCAATACTTTGTTAATTCGAAATATAATAAACATTATTAAATTAAATATAAGTATTTTTAGAAATAAACAACAAACTGCCAAATAAATACAATTTAAATAGTTTAAACAGTTTAAGGACTTTTTGAGGAAATAGTTATTAAAAATTAAATTATTTATTATATTAAAAGTAACTTTAAACTTCATAGATTATAAAATGGTGTATTGTATATTAATTCTATAAATACTTTTTCTAACTTTTTATTTTAAAATTAAATATTACTGAAATATTCCAGTATATTAATATAGTACTAAATATTAATATTTACTCTAATAATTTATTTTTAACTCAATCAATACCTATTTATTATTATTTCTAATAATTACAATTATAACAGAAATGTTGACTTAATTGGAAAACTCTGAGAATTTAATGAAATATGTTTTTATTAATTTCAATATAAGTGTGTCCTAAGGCTTATATTATACCTTTTTGCATAAATTCACAAAATATGAATATATTAAAGATAATTTTATGTAAAAATTATTTCTCCCGAAATTTGTTTACGACTAAAACACTTTTCCGTTACAAAATTTACCAGTAATTTGTTTTTCTATCCAAATACATCTATCATATCATTAGTTATATATTTTTGAAATCTATTATCTGTTTTTGTGTTATTTTATAATCTTTTTGCGTGAAAAATCGTTTTTATAGATTTTGGGCCATAACTCGACCGCTAAGATATCGCTCTTATATTAGCAAAAGAAGATTATTTTGTTGTATTTCCATCATCTGGTTCTGTTCAGCCGCCATATCATTCATCCCAATCTTCACGGGTTGGTATCACACCGAGAATGTGACCAATATTTTTCTGATGACTGATGTCACCGACTGCTCTCTTAAGGTATGACACATTTGATGCCATAATTAGCCATATGTTGACTTTTAAACAATACTTATATTGGTATAAATTTGCGGTCATTTGATGATATGACTGATGAACAGGTGAACAGAGNATCTATCATATCATTAGTTATATATTTTTGAAATCTATTATCTGTTTTTGTGTTATTTTATAATCTTTTTGCGTGAAAAATCGTTTTTATAGATTTTGGGCCATAACTCGACCGCTAAGATATCGCTCTTATATTAGCAAAAGAAGATTATTTTGTTGTATTTCCATCATCTGGTTCTGTTCAGCCGCCATATCATTCATCCCAATCTTCACGGGTTGGTATCACACCGAGAATGTCACCAATATTTTTCTGATGACTGATGTCACCGACTGCTCTCTTAAGGTATGACACATTTGATGCCATAATTAGCCATATGTTGGCTTTTAAACAATACTGATATTGGTATAAATTTGTGGTGATTTGATGATATGACTGATGAACAGGTGAACAGAGTGTATGCATTGGTGTCATCGTTGACGTCCTTCTATCTGCCCCTTCCGATCATGTTTTACGTGTATTTCCGTATATTACTGGTCGCTGAGAGACAGTCGCGAGAAATAAAACAATTGGAGCTCTCATTACAACAAAACGGTTTACTCTCGGAATCTGACGCCACGTCTGCCAATAGCGACACATTTGACGCCAAAAGACATGTCGAGCGGAGTCTGAGACGAAGAACTAAACAATTAATCACTGATACGAAAGCCATTCGTACGCTCGGGATCGTGATGGGAGTGTTCTGTTTGTGCTGGCTAGTTTGAAACTTTGTTTCATTAATCCCTTAAACTACAATATAATGTACAGTAATTGAAATGATATGAACATAAGCTTAATGATAGCCTTATATTAGGCACAGTCAGGCTTACCATTCAAAGTGAGGTCTTTCTGATGGCATTTTAAATGATATGAAGTCACACAGAGTTATCAATTTCTTTCGTAAGAATAGGTCCTCTTTTGATTGATTTTGTCTAATATAGCCTTTCCTTTATGACAGACTATTATTTTTATACGGAATTCTATACCATTCTTATGGACAATATTATGAAGTAAAATGACATTAAAACATAAAATTAGACTTCAATTTGATGTCATAAAATAGTGCATGAATTCTCGTTTTCACACTTTCTACAGTAGTTTATACAAAATTAATTGATGAATAGCTAAAGTATACAGAAGTGTTACGTTCAATATAATTACTTTAATTACCTAAACTGTAGGCTATTTGAGTAATAAGATAAAAATAAATTATTATTTATTTGTTTTATAATGTTATTATTTTTATGACAACAATTCTGTACAATACTTTATAACATAATTTATACAACTAATAATTGATAATAAATTAAGTACTCTATTTGTATATTTTATATCGCACTATAGGCTGCCATTCTTTATAATGTATGTAATATCGGCGTATTGTGTATACTGTGAAGTAAGTTATGAGATCCGAAGTGGCATTACTTGGTTGGGGTATATAAATAGGTATGCATTACAGATACAACCATTATATCAAACCATTCCATACAATCCATTACATCCTCTCATTGCCCTTAAGTTTATTAGTTTTTCTTTGACGAAAAAATTGGTGAAAATAATACGAATCATAAAATGAATAAATATATCATTTATAGTGCTCTCAATCCAGCGATTTATGCATATCTTAACAAAGAGTTTAAAACAGCGTTTCGACGGGTGTTATGCTGTTTGCCTCGAATCCTAGTCGAGGGGGACAGGGATGCGATGATGGATGAGATATCGACGACTAGTAGATCACTGCAGAGGAATATGGATCGATTGCACGTCAACTTCGATCTGCCGCTCACACCGGCACTCATGTCGAGAACCCCGAGCGCTACGCCCGACACAACCCACTGGCCTATCATTACCAACAACTCTCTGCCCATCTCTTCAGAGCAGAGCAGAAACCCTTCAATTAGTACTCACAGTCATTGCGTGAGCAAAACAGATGATAAGAAGTAAATACAACTATTTGTGCTCTTATTTCGCAACACAATCTTCGTTAAGGGAAAGGCATCTCTCGGAAAGGGATTAATAAAATTAGTTCGTATTTTTAGATAATAATGCATTGATTGGTGGCATACATGAGGCAGACATTGAGGAATAAGTTGATGAAACCCAGAGTCCAGAGTGAATAATATGTGTGGGATGTTATTGATTGAGATTTACATAAAACATTATTTTGTATGAAAAATTACCTATTTTAAAATTTTAGTTTTCAAAAATGTTATTTAGTTATTTAGTGAAAACAAAAAATAATTAAATATTTGCATGCAATAAAAAATTTAAGTTTTGTAAAAACAGACATATTATTTAATGATTATAAATTCCTTTAACTTTATATATGATATGCATTTCATTCATCAGTTTTCCACATTTGACTGATTGGTGTGAATGACATTCAATATATATATATATTGTAATCTATACTCAGATCCCAAGAATTTATCAAATATTCTTATTTTTACAGACAATTACAAAATAAAAACATTATGTACTGTATATAACAAATGTTTGCCAAATATTGAGCACATAATATGCTGTGATCTAAAAATATAAGTTTATATTAGATTAGCGAAAGAACTTGAATATCGAGTAAATTAGTTGACTCTCATATTAATCTTGTTATATATTCTATAAGTTGTGTTTCACTGGATATATAGAATAAATTTTTTCATATATTAATCAAAACAATTCATATTGACTACAACTCTACAAACTCTGATATTTCATACAATTTTTTACTGTATTCTACTTTAACCCTAACAAATGGGCTCAAATGTTGTCTATATACTGTATTTTCCCAAACAAAAAAAGCAATACTGTATTTACAAACCTTTTCAATAAATTATTTTTATTCCAATATTGAAGCATTTGTCAAATTTATTTGCATTGAATTTCTTGGATTAATTCAAAAGTAATCTATAATTAAAGGGAAAAGAGTATACAAATAGAGGAATGAAGTGAATTTGAGACCAAATGTAAACTGGGATGCGATGAGTGAGTTATCTCTCGTCAAAGAGATTATTGTTTGCGTGAAGAAAGAGTGCAAAGAGTGTTGACTTGAGTTTAGGTGTTACTCGAGAGGCAATCATTTGCCGAGAGTTTGGTCCAACTCTTGCTTTATTAGTTTTGCTCATCCCTTATAAGAGTTGTTATTAAACGAGACTGTAATTCGCAGTCAAATTGATTTATATGTCAAATATGTTCACAAATGAGATACAGGTCTTCATGCGATTCTCTACAATGAAATACACTCTATATTACAGAATATTACTGAAATGAACGATATTTTACAGTCAATACTCGATCCGATTGATTACAGCTTCAGAAATACATCTAAAGTATGTGTAAAGTAGAGTATAATATGAAAGCAATCTTAGATAAGATAGAGTTCTTAAACATATTTTTAGCATCAAAAGTAAAATCATAAACAAAAATAAATTCTAAAAATCACTGCAATATTGAAGAAATGGTCTCGAAATACATTACAAGATTTGAGTCAAACACTTATCTACACTCTTAAGTGCAATGAGTTTCTATATATCGGAATAGATTTTATCTTTTAATGCATTAAATAACTCGTTAGTATAGAAATACTCGAAATACTGTCCCATCTTTTCTCGTATATATTGTTGTCAATCCTGAAGATAATACATAAACAATCATAAGTTTCGATACAACAGAATATATTCCTTTGAAATTGAGTTCAATTGTCCTCATATTACTGTTAGATAATAGTAACTGCTCCACAACCTTTTTGTTTAATTCAATATACAGTATGTTATTTGAAATAAATTATTTAAACTGTAGTTTCGCTTCTCTTATTAATAAAATTATTGAGACATTTTTAGTTACAAACAATAAGAGTTAATTACAAAATACTCTCCAGTCTTATTAAGTATCATTTATTTTGATGAAAATGAATATTTAATAATACTATAAAGGCCTCAATGCTTGGAACAACATTAAATACACCTGTAACCTTTACAATACATAAATATGAGATATTTATGCAATAAAATAATTTTATATTTTATTTTAATTTTTATTAACATAAAATATTATTATTATTATTATTAATCTATTATTAAAAATATAATATTATTAATATTATATTCTTAAAGTTTTTAACAAAGTAACATATATCAGATTTTATCCAAAAAATAATCATTTTCTTTTATATACTGTACAGTAGATTTATATGAATGTATACCAAATATAGGGTTTAATTTGTGTGAATTGTATTAAAGAATCAATGAATGAAAGAGAAGTGTAAATTGATTTCAATTCAACGCTAAACAGTTTAGCACTGTTTGTGTCCGATAGCTGTCTATTCATTGTACCCTTAATACCATATACTGTATACCAATATCCGTGATATCATTAAATTTTCTTTCAATTATTCTTATAATTCTTTCTCTTTCTCTGCCCTCACTTTGTTGTTCAAACTTATTAGTTATATATTCAAAGTATTTTAATATAATAAAAACTCTTCACAAAAAAACTATTTTGAAAACAAACTATATATAGGAACAAAGGATTTCAATTTGAGAATATTCTAGAGTTTCATAATTGTTTATTTTTAAGAAATATCAACAATGAGTACAATAGGTTAGGGTAAGTAAAATGTATAATATTTATATCAAGTATACCTATGATGACAAAAACTTTAAAATTCTCCATTTATAGTATCATTAAAAAATAAATTAAATAAATTATGTGAAGTGGAGTGAAAGTGATTGAGTTTGTAGTATACTGTATAAACCTAAATAAAGTCATTATCCTTTTGGGGCACTTCCATGAGTACTCAAGTCGTTTAATAAATATGTCTAAATTATTGAATCATTTTAATACAAAGAAAAATTCAGTTTAAGTATTCGGTTTATATTACAGCGCTATATATAAGTAGATTTAATTAATAGCTATCCAATTGTAAAAATAAAAGAATTTATATCTAAATATAGTTTGATAAATTTCACGTTTTTTTATGATAAAGAATTTCAATTATTTTTAAATTTTTGCCTTTTCTATAGTTTTTGCATTTAAATCAATAGTAGAATTTATTGCTATTTAAAGTCTGATTAATCAAATATAATTATTCAAAAAATTCTTTGCATATTTTAATTAAATTTTATTTTTCACTATGTTAAAAATATTTAGTTAATTATTTTGCATTCACTCATAAAATGATAAATGTAAATGAACATTTTCCCAAAAATCTGAGTAAATTGATATAAAAGATATCTAATGTTCTTTGTGAATGAATCAATTGAATTGTATAAACAAAAAAGTTAACAAAACTGAGAAAACTATAATTGAATTTATTGTACGAAATATTTTATTAGATTATTGTTATGACAGAAAATGATTTGCCAAAATAGTCTAACGATTGAACTTCACTTGAATTCAGTGATATTCTGTGGTTTATTCTGAGATATTTGTATTTGTCAGCAGAAATGAGATCCACAAAAAGAATTGAATGAAATGAATATATATTTTTAGGATACACATTGTCTTTCCCTTTGGATTACATTTTCTGTGACGAGTTTTTCTAATATTTTTGATTTAGTTTTTTATTTGAAACTAGAATTTCAATACAAACGCAACTCTAAGTTGTATCAATAAAACACAAGTAATAATGATTCAAAACAATTGCGATACACAATGGAGATAATAAAGGACTTACTTTGAAGATCTGCAGATAATCTATTATTTTCTCACAAAAGATCGGATGAAATAAAGTTTATTCGACGAGAAATAAATACGAGACTTCAAAATTAAAGCCATATATGCCTTGCATTTGAACACAGAATGTAAGGCTTTAATCAATTGATTGATTAATTGGATTATTACTTATTTTGGTTTAGTTATAATTCCTTTATTACAATAAAATTACAAAGCTTCTTTATATTTCATTCAATTTTATTTTTTAGTATAAATCATGTCTACAACATATGCACCATTTATTTGTTATTAAAATTTTTACTATGAATTTAATTCATTGAATCAGTGTTTAAATTAGGTTGTGAAAATATTTTCAATTTAGTAGGCGTTTGGTGACTAAATTATGGCATATTTTGTAAATGAACTAAACATTCAAAACTCATTTCAATTTAAACATAGTATTTTTAGGCATAACTTATTGTATTTTAAAATAAAGTTATTTTTTATGTAAACTTTTGTGTCATTTTTATTGTTAAGTTTTCAAAATCAAAAAACAGTTTCTATTATTTCAAAAGAAAATTCATTTAATATTTATATCATTTCTTTTGAATAAAAAGTGAATTTTATAAAATATTTCTAATGCAACTCTTACGACATATTAAATATTTAATTTAAATAAAAATCAATTTCTTTCTTAAGTAATACTTTTATTATTATTAAATGCAATTTTTTATTTGCATAAAATTGAAAGCATTACTTTTGGATATGTATTGATTGTTATATTTAGATTACAGTTAAAGCTATAACTCATTAAAATTTTATTATTTTAACTTATATTTGATTATAAATGTTGTCAAATGTCAGCTTCAAAGAACTAAAAAATCATTTCGATTGCAAACTAATTTGAAATAAATTGCAAAAAATTATTATAGGAAGATGCCAGAATATAATGTGAAGTCATTTTATAAGTTACATATTATATCGATTGAATATTTAGAGACGAAAAATGTAATTTAAAATATTTTAATACATATAATTGTTTGACATTTTTGTGGTTATGATAAATCAAAAACTAAATATTTCGATAAAACGAATTCATCTAAACTTTTAACAAAATGAAAATTTTTGATAAGAAATGCCCGCTATATACAGCACCGTATACTGTATATGCCATGTATTGCAAAACATAAGAAATTTAAAAATTACTGCATTTATTAATACTAAAAATAGTGCATAACATGACTGAATACATTATAGTAGACCGTTATATCAAATAAATGATTGTATTATAAGTA